AAAAAAAAAAAAAAAAAAAGAGAGAATGTGTCTCTCTGGGGTACAAAAAAGTCCTCAGAGGAAGGAAAATCTCTTGATTACTAAGAAAAAGAAAACATTCCCCAGCCAATCTGTATATGCCATCCTAAAACCAGATACAATCCCTGGTCTCTCCAGAAACAGAGACCTTTGTGAACCAAGTACAGAAAATCTAGTATGGCCTGGCAATCCAGTTGTAAAGTGAGAAAGAAGGCTGGGCTAGGGGCTACAAGCCCATGTTCCTAGGAAGGTGGGAAAAGTGGGCAGGAGCTCATCTTAGTGTCTCAAATACACAAGCCTCAACTATATAATTCCCTATTCATGTCAGAGAGGCTAATTATTATTATTATTTTTTTTGAGACAGGAGACTCAAGCTGTCCCACTGGGTAGAGTACCGTGGTATCATAGCTCACAGCAACCTCCAACTCCTGGGTTCAAGCGAGTCTCCTGCCTCAGCCTCCCAAGTAGCTAGGACCAGAGGCGCCCGCCACAATGCCTGGCTATTTTTTGGTTGCAGCCATTAGTGTTGTTTTGGCGGGCAGGGCTGGATTTGAACCCGCCACCTCAGGTGTATGTGGCTGGCGCCTTAGCCACTTGAGCCACAGGCACCGAGCCACATACACTGCAGTGGGGGGGTTCGAGCCCAACCTGCATCAGCTAAAAACAACATTAACTGCAAAAACAAAAAAAAATAGTTAGGCATTGTGTCCCAGCTACTAGGGAGGCTGAGGCAAAAGAATCACTTAAGCCTAAGAGTTGGAGGTTGCAGTGAGCTATGATGCCATGGGACTCTACCCAGGGAAACAGCTTGAGACTCTGACTCAAAAAAAAAAAAAAAAAAAATTCCTCCACTCTAGCCTTTAAGGACACATCCTCTCTCATCTTCATCAACCTTATTTCCCAGTAGCTCTGGACAGATCCTTCCCTTTTCTCCATGTTCTCTGGCTCCATGGTCATCCGTTCTGTTCTTTTTCTCACTTTACTCATCCCTCAGTAGTCTATGCCTAAGGCTTCACCAAGAGGCCATTGATTCCCAAGTCCTTATCTGTTGCTTAACCTCTCTTTTGAACATCAGACCAAGTATTAAATGCCTGAGGGACTCTGCCACGTGGCTGTACCATGAAGTCCTGATAAGGAACACAGCATGTCCAGAAAAAAACCTTATTCTCCTTACCCAGATCAGTCACTTCCTTCTGTGTTCTCTGCCTAAGACCAAACTTCCTATAGTATGGCACATGTCATGTGTCCTGGCCATCCCTCTCATTATTCCCTCAGCCACACCAAATAATTCTGCACTCCTGATCTAAGGAGCTCTTTTTCATTTCTGTGCTATTTTTTCCTCACAAGGAATGACCTTTCCTTTCTCCCTTCTTGGGTGGCATTCCCTCTTCTACAAATCTTAGCATGATATCACTTCTGAGAAGGCCCCTTGCTCCCATCTAGTGGATGCCTGCTCTGAATCCTCTCATTTTCTTCTCTTTCTGCCTATTATACTGAACTGTTATTGGCAATTTATCTCCCTCCTTACTATGAGCTCCATGATGACAGTGTTTTTTTTTTTTTTTTTAACCTTATCTCTAGATCCAGCAGGACAGCAGCAATAGTTAGCCAAACCAATGAACAAAATGTGTACCACCAGTGAAAAATACTTGAGACACTGTTTCAAGAAGACTAGTGTATAAAATTGTATATATGCTCCAATTCTAACTATTTATTTATTTTTATTATTTTGAGACAGAGTCTCACTTTCTCACCCTGGGTAGAGTGTCCTGGCATCACAGCTCATAGCAATCCCAAACTTTTGGACTCAAGCAATCTTCTTGCCTCAGTCTCCCAAGTAGCTGGAACTATACGTGCCTGCCACAATGCCCAGCTATTTTTTAGAGAATAGAGGTCTCACTCTTGCTCAGGCTCATCTTGACCTCTTTGAATTCAAGTAATCCACCCACCTTGGCCTCCTAGAGTGCTAGGATTATAATAGGCATGAACCACAGAGCCTGGCTAATTCTTTTTTTTTTTTTTTGAGACAAAGCCTCAAGCTGTCCCCCTGGGTGGAGTGCCATGGCATTACAGCTCACAGCAACCTCCAACTCCTGGGCTCAAGCGAGTCTCCTGCCTC